CAAAATGAAGAGGCTAGATTTTATGAAAAACTTTGGGCTATTGTAAACAACATTGTGCTCTACTAAACAATTTAATCACGAACAGATTGTTTGTATAGATATGATGATGACGCGGCAAAAAGTCACACCCATATCCTCAAGTGGGCGTAATACCTGGTATATTCATTACCATTTTATTACCATAACACCTTAAAGTGGCGGGGGGCAAAAAGTCTCGTCCACCCAACTTAAAACCTAAGATCCAGATGTTTGATGACTAAAATCTTTTACCTTGTTAACATTACATTACAGTCATTTAGCAGACGCTTTTATCCAAAGCGACTTACAATAAGTGTATTCAATATCGGTTTTCGAGAGAACAACTAGTCACCAGAAGTAATAAGTGCATGTCCTTTCCTCAAACAAGCATCTAAGAGCATAAACCAGAGCCAACGTACAGTGCAGAAACAAATGAATGCAATAAGTGCCACAAACTAATATAAAAAAAATAAGTGCAATGAGCTAGTATGAATACAATAGATGCTAAGTAAGTGCTAAGCGGAAGGGTAGGCCTTCTTGAAGAGGTGAGTTTTCAGCCTGCGCCGAAAGATGGGCAGCGACTCTGCCATCCTGACGTCAGTGGGGAGTTCATTCCACCACTGTGGGGCCAGGACAGAAAACAGCCGCGACCGGGTCGATCGGCCGCAGGGACCTCTGAGCAACGGGGCAACCAGTCGCCCCGAGGTAGCAGAGCGAAGTGGTCGGGCCGGGGTGTAGGGCTTGACCATGGCCTGGAGATAGGAAGGAGCTGTTCCTTTCACTGCCCTGTAGGCTAGCACCAGAGTCTTAAACTGGATGCGGGCACTTACAGGTAGCCAGTGTAGAGAACGGAGAAGGTAAGTTGTGTGGGAGAACTTGGGGCGATTGAACACCAGGCGAGCTGCAGCTTTCTGGACAAGCTCCAGAGGTCTGATGGCCGACACCGGGGCTCCGGCAAGTAGTGAGTTGCAGTAGTCGAGGCGGGAGATGACTAGAGCCTGGATTAGCACCTGCGCCGTCTCATCAGTGAGGAAGGGGCAAATCCTCCTGATGTTGTAGAGCAGGAATCTGCAGGAGCGTGTAACCGATGCAATGTTTGCTGAGAAGACAGTTGGTCATCCAGGGTCACACCCAGGTTTCTCGCAGTCCGAGTTGGCGTCACCACGGTATCATCAATGGTGATGGACAGGTCTCGGTGCAGGCAACCCTTCCCCGGGAGGAACAGTAGCTCGGTTTTGTCCAGGTTGAGCTTGAGGTGGTGTGTCGTCATACACTTCGAGATGTCAGCCAAGCACGCAGCGATGCGTGCCTCCACTTGAGTGTCCCCGGGAGGAAATGACAAGACCAGCTGGGTGTCATCGGCATAACAATGGTAGGAGAAGTCATGCGAGCGAATAACAGAACCCAGAGATGTTGTGTAGAGCGAGAAGAGAAGGGGGCCCAGGACTGAGCCTTGTGGAACCCCCGTAGTCAGCATGCGTGGTTCCGACACAGAGCCCCTCTATGACACCTGGTAGGATCGACCTGTCAGGTAGGATGCAAACAGGGAGAGTGCAGAGCCTGAAACGCCTATCCCCTCGAGGGTGGACAGGAGGATCTGGTGGTTAACAGTGTCAAACGCCGCAGACAGGTCCAGGACAATCACGACAGAGGAGAGAGAGTTAAAACATATAGGTTAAACAATCACAGTTTTAAAGTGCAGCCTAAAATTATGATTTATAAGCTTATTTATGAAAGAGCCTCTAGCTGACAAACACGAGGCAGGTGCATTATCATCCATCCCATACAGAAGAAGAGCGCGGTATCGATCTTCTCCTCTTTCTCGTGGCAAGAAAGCAAATAAGCATAATTCTAAAAAGGTCTGTTCAGTTGTCTTATTTTTAGCAACTAGTTTATGTATTACTGACTCTGCATATATGGATTTAATGCCATGAAGTCTGCATCCAGTTACATGATCCAACACAACGAGGCCACAATCAGCGCCCCTCAGCAAATCCTCAACAAGGCAGCACACATACATCCTGTGCAGTGGGGTGATGCTGGAATAACAAATCCTCTGCCACTTTCAGCAGTTCAAGAACTATCTCACTATCCACTCTTGCTCGGCTTGACAGCCATGTGCGTGTCCGAGCAGACCGGGAGGATGAGGGTGAGAATGGGAGGTAGTTAAGAGGAGGTGGGGGGGGGGGGGGGAGGCCATGCTCGCTTGATTTTTTTTTCTTCTACCTTTTCTTTTTTTTTCCCACTATGTGCTTTAGTTGCACCCACTTCCTTCATGGTAACAGCTGTCAAAACGTTGTCGGATTACAGCACACCGCAAAGTTACAGCTCATATTAGAGCCTGGTACAGGACAGGAAGTCAGGAGGAGTCCAGCAAGCGGGGTACATTAAAGCCTTTCAGTTTCTCAGAGCCCAGCAGCCAGGACCCAGGGGAGGAATAGCTAACACCAAGAGGGTGCTACTCCTGTGCTGCTAATTTAGGTACACATGTCAGGGATATCGAGGGCTTTTCCACTGATGTTTTAGGTATTAGAACAGATGTACTCCGTAATTGTGTGTTGTTTTCCCAACCGGACGTGAAGTTCCTATGCACAGCCTGGGATCACAAAGCCCCTGCTCTCTTGGATTACTCCAGCGTCAGGGTTTGTAAGATGAGGCAACAAGATATTTGCAAGATTGTTGGGAGAGAAAACTCTCTGAAATCTCCGCTCATCTGCTGAGGGAATAGGGCCTGTTGAAATAATATCAGTTCAGCAGGGTAATTCTCCGGCACATACGTACGTCCGAATGCTGTAAACCCAAAACAGAAATGTTTATATCTTGCGCTAATGAGTTTCATAGTAACTTCGTTTGACATTGAAGTAAAAACATCACTGCAGTGGTACTGCGCTGTTATATGACAGAGGCCTTGATAATCAGTTTACACTAAATCAATATACAATGTCACAGCAAAGTGAGGGTGATCCTGCATGAAACTGTGAAAATCCAACAAGTCTGTATTCGATTCCAGATATGACTTAACCACAACAATGACGTCTGATTGCATAGAAGGAAAGTCTCTGCTCTTCTATCAAAAGGTGAGCCGCAGACTTTTTCCTAGCCAGTCCAACCCTTAGTGACAGTAGGTTGGGGGTTTTTGTGCCTGTTTTTGGCTGCAGAAAATGTATGAATGATAACCAGTCCACAAAGGTTTATATTCTGTACACTGCATTTGAAGTGTTTTAAGTGTAAAACAATCTCAACTCAAGGTCCACTTCCGTGTTTGTTCAGGCACTTCAGGTTATATCACTTTTAAGTCAACATGAATCGTTAAAGGAATATGTATGTTTCCATACACTGGGCAAACTAAACTTGCTTATGAGGGCCATGTGATACAATCAAAAGCTCCAGAATAAGTCGGTATTGATCCTCCTTATGTGGTAATGTGAATGTATTTGTTAAAGCCTGTGAGTTGTTGCATGTATACTCTTCATTTGTGCAGAAATTTGCATGACTTCACAATATGCATCAGTTAGGGCTGCACTGAGAAAATTACTGTTCATTTAGTCATGAGCTAAAAAATGTTCATCACACTTTCCTCGAGCCACATACATTTGTCTTGATATTATTGTGTTGTCAGATTAACAGTCTAAAAAGCCAAATGGTGTTAATCTATACAGATATAAAACTGACAAAAGTAGCAAAACCTTAAATTTGAGAAGGGGCTATATGACAAGTGATTCAAACAACCATTTAATAAAAAAAAAATATGGTGTTCCATTACAAACCATTTAAAAATCACCAGTAAAAGACAATTATATATATATATATATATATAATCATATCATACTGCATTACTTTATAGCAATCATCTGATTTTAAGTAAATTCTCAAAGTGCAACTGAAGAATGAAACCACACATGAAATAATTTAAAAATTCATTTATTATTTCAGATTTTTTTCGCCTTTGTTATACAAAGATGTTAAATAACTTAAATACATTCTTACCAGTCATTTGTGATCTGTTTATACCTACAAGCTATACACATGAGGTAGAGGAAAATAATTTAGGGTTCCCATAAGACATGAATACGTGAACATGGACAAAGCTTTGCTGGTGTAGTATCATCACAAAGGGCAATACATGGTTGATGTGTTTTTTTCTTTGTTTTACAAGCGCAGCACAAATCCTAACAAAAAGTACATGTACATGTAAAGTGATCCAAAGGTGAGTACGAACTAGTCTACGCTGATGCAATCATGTGTTTATACTGCATCGTATTTCACAAAAATATTCGATTATACAAACAGATCAAATCCTCTAAAAAGATATTGTCGATGACTGATTTTGTTTGAATACTCTCAAAAAAACGTGTCTTGATCGTGCGCATGAATAAAAGACAGCTGCAGGTGAGTCGATTCTAAATTTGTTAGGATTTGTTAGTGCTTGGATAACCGAGAATGATGCGATACGACATGAAATATGCTTAAAGTATACACTGCTTCTCGAAGCCTCCACCCCAAAAAAGGAACAAACACCCTAAAGAAAAACGAGTAAAAAATACAGGATATAAAATCAATTTAGACTTTGACGTTATTTACACTAAACACATGCTCATAATATATTTAAAAATAATTTATCTTTTAATTTTTTTTCTACAAAACAGAATTTTGTACATGATCCACTGACGACTAAACAGTGCAGAGTTTTGGATTTGAGAATATGGACGACTGACATCTAAAAACCAATTGGCTGCTGCATCATGCTCCTCTCTCGGGAGACATTTTTAGGTCTATGTACAAACAAAAAATGCACTCTGTGTGCATTTGGTATTCCTGTCACGCCTGATTTGAATCTGCTCAATGGTAGAGAACCTCAGCGTGTTTGGGCCAAGGAGTGTGTGTGTGTGTGTGTGTGTGTGGTGAACACACACACACACACACACACACACACACACACACACACACACACA